AATATATAAAAAATTATCAATTTTATTTTAATTCAATTTGATTTATATTTTTTAAAGAGAATTGCATGGTGTTTAAAGTTTGGAGATAATTTTATACAGGTTTCTATAGGTGTTTTGGAAATGTTTTTAAGTTAAAATAAATTGAGAATTTGGTTTTTAGGGTTTAAAAAGTTGCTCCTAATTTTTCAACCAAAGGTGGTCGGGATTTAAATAGAATGAAATTATCTTTAAATAAATTGATTAAAATAATATGTAAGCAATTATATCATAGTTTTCAAGAACATTATTCATTAATTTAATTATCATAGACCCAAACACTTGGTGTTGTGAGATTCTTAAATCACATTGCAATATTTAACCTCTCAAAGATTATTTAATCATTAATTTAATTATAATGACAATCCTGCAAACTTCTTAAACTCTTTTCAATTGATTTTTAACTTTCATGAACCTACATTTGGATTGCATATCGTAATCTATAAAACTAGTGGGAAAGCGTTATGAACATAAATTTAAGGCAAACTCGAACGACCGTATAAGTTTTAATTTCTTTTATTGATATTTACTTTCACAACCATAATATATTTTTATTTTAAAAAAATTAATAAAAAAAATTAAAGCAAAAAAAAAAACCCTTTTCCACCGCCAAGAACAGACTTGTTTAGATAGCATCTACCACGTCAATCAACTTTCAACATCAACCTCTGGCAGGGGGTTGTTTCCACCAACACCCAGCTAATCCTTCATGCCATTGGAGTCTTACCTTTAAAAGGATAGGACGTAACCAAATAACAATAAAAAAAAATTAAAAAAAAAACAGCCGACAGGGGCAGCTCATCAAAAAAATATTTTCCAAGGGATTTGCAACTACAACCAACTGCAAGTAGCACAGGTTTCATGGAATCAGATGATGTGGCAACGAACTACTCTGGGTAATTAATTCCATGCAAGTCTTTACAGACAAACAAGAAGCAAAGCATGCCGATGGGCCTGTACCTCAACCAAAGAGGTCCTGTTCAAGCCTCTCATTTGAGACAAAAAAAAACACGCATAAAATGATCACATCAGCAGGA